TGAAAAGAAATTTTAAAAAGGAGGCTGAAAATATTACAAAGAAATACTTAAACCAATGAATCGGATTTTTTAAAGAGTAAACAAAACAGACAAACTCTTATCCAATTTTATTTTTTTTTAAAGAAAAGACTCAAGTCTGTGAAATTAAGAAAAAATTGAAATCATAATGGACATTGCCAAAATCCAGATTATTAGCAACTGTTTTGAAAAGCTGTAACCCAATAAATTGGGAAATGCGAAGAAATGGATAGATTCTAGATAAACATGAATTATCCAAACTGAACCTAAATGAAATAAAAGCCCTCAATAATCCAATAGTGGGTTATGGAATTTAAAGAATAACAGAAAAACCTACTTATGAAGAAAGCGCAGGACCTGATGGATTCACTGCTAAATTCTACAAGAATTTAAGGGAAGGCCTACTACCAATATTCTGCACTATTTATTGAAATTGAAAGGGAAGGAGTACTTTCAAAGTCATTCCTGGAGGCTAACAAAACCCTGATTCAATGGAAAAGACAGTGAGACAAGGTTCCAACCAAAAACCAGGTCTGCAAGCCAATCACTTTCATGAACATTGTCAGAAAAAACCTCAGCAAGATACTGGTAAACAGAATGCAACAAATCATCAAAAAGATTATACATCATTGTGGAGAAGGACATTCTTTAGTTTATCTTTCAATGTATCACCTATGTGGGACTTTGGGCCTTACCAAGCCATAAGATTGATTCTGGAGGAAGTCGATCAAAAGCATTAGTGTAAAAGGAAGTGATAGCAGGACCTGTGTCCCTGTGGAAAGCTTCTGGGACAACACCAGATGGTTTGCTGAGATATGCCCAAAGAAATGATAACTTGATGGCTAACTAGGTCAAAATCTCATTCCCATGATAATTAAGTTGTACTGTCCTTGCCAATCCTGTTAATTATTCCTCCCATTTGCCCTGTTGCTGCTTTTGTTTGTATCCCTATAAAAGGCTAATGAGGATGGTAATGGAGGCTTCAGTCCGAGAGGCTGCAAGACCCCTAATCCCATAACCTTCTCTCTCTTGTTTTTCTTTTCGTCCGCAGGTACCTCATTCTTGAGATGTGTCACCCCAGACAGAAGCTTACTCTACACCAACACATCATGACTAAGTAGCTTTCATTCCAGGGATGTGGGGATGGCTCAAAATATGCAAAGTAATACATACAATACATAACACAAATGGAAGCAAGGAAAAAAAAATCACATGATCATTTCCAAAGATATAGAAAAGGCCTTTAACAAAGCCCAGAATTCATTCATGATAAAACCCTAAAGAAAATAGTTATAGAAGGACTTTTGCTCAATCCATAAGAGCCATTTATAACAAACTTAACGCCAATATCATATTAAATGGGGGGAAACACAAAAGCTTTCTCTCTAAAATCAGGAACAAAACAAAGATTACCACTGTCACTACTCTCATTCAATACAGTACTTGAAACATTAGCTAGAGCAATTAGGTAAACAAAAGAAATAAAATGGATATGTGTAGGAAAGGAATAAGTTTAATAATTGTAATTAGCAGATGACACAATACTCCACAAAGAAGATCCCCAAAATTCCACCGCTCTTAGAATTCATATCCAAGTTCTGTTGTGCAGCAGGCTACAGAGTCAGCACAAAAATTTCAGTTGTGTTCCTGTACATCAATACTGAACTCACCAAGAAAGAAATTAGGAAAACAATTCCATTCTTAATAGAATCAAGAAAGATTGCATTTGTAGTTATTAACCTGACCAAGGAAGTGAATGACCCCTACAGTGAAAACTATAGAAACCTGTAAAAGGAGATTTAAGAGAACATTTGAAAGTGGAAAGACATCCTTTGTTTCTGAATAGGCAGAACCAACAATGTCAAAATGGTCATATTTCCAAAAATGATATAGAGATTTAATACAATCTCATTAAAAACACAACAGTCATCACAGACTTAGAAAAATAATCTTAAAACATATAGAACCAGAAGAAACACTGACTAGTAAAAACAATCCTTGGGAAAAAGGAGTAAAGCAGGAGGCATCAGAATGCTGGACTTCCAGTTTATTATAAGGCTACAGTAAAAAAAACTGTGTTACTGGCACAGAAGCAGACAATAAATTACTGGTACAGAAAAGGAGTTGCAGAAAAAACAACAGGCACAGTTAGATATGTGGTCTTTGGCAAAAGGTCCAAAACCTTATGCTAAAGGAAAGATAGCCTCTTTAATAAATGGTTCTAGAAAAACTGGCTATATGCATGCAGAAGATTTAATACAATCACGTATCTTTCACCATGAACTAAACTAAAGTCAAAAGGGATCAAAGATATACATGGTAAACAAGAAACACTAAAACTACTTGAAGATAAAATAGGTAAACCTCTTGAAAACAACCACAGTTGAGAACTTTTTGAACAAAATGCCAGTTGTACCAGAAATATCATGAAGAACAAACAAATGGGATCACATCAAATGAAAAAGCTTTTGCTCTGTAAAGGCAAGAACCAAGTGAGTGAAAAGACAAACTACAGAATGGGAGAAAAATTTGCCAGCTATTCCTTGGACAGAGAATTATTATCTAAAATATATAGAAAGAACACAAAAATCAGACAAACCCCCTCCAAAATAAAAGACCCAAATCAATAATTGAGCAATGGAAATGTATAGATACTTATCAGAAGAAGTATATACGGCCTATAAATGCATGAAAAAATGTTCAACATTTTTGGCCATTATAGAAATGAATAGTAAAACAACACTGAGATTCTACCTAACTCCAGAAAGAATGGGTATCATCAAGATATCAAGTAATAAATTCTTGACAGGAACACAAATAAGTGGAAAAAAGGAATATTTCTACATGGTGGGTGGGAATTGTAACCTGCTACAACCACTATGGAAATCAGTATGGCAACTTCTAAAAAATAAAAATAAAAATAGAAATTACATTTGACTCAGATATTCCACTTGTAGGTATCTTCCCAAAATATTTAAACGTATCTTATTGTTGTAAAATATGCATATCCATGTTTATGGCAACACAATTCACAATAGCTAAATCATGAGAGTGGCCCTATATGTCCAATAATAGATAAATGAAAAAAGACACTGTGGCATTTATACAAAATGAAGTACTATTTTGCCATAGAAAGGATAAACTTTCATCATTTGTAGGAAAAAGGATGCACCTTGAGACCATAATGTTAAATGAAATAAATCAGACACACAAGCTCAATTATTGCATGGTTTCTCTTATATGACAAACTCAAAATATTTAATGACAACCCAAATAAAACATGTATAATGGGAAATAGATCTTTTGCAATAGGGAAGGGGATCAAGAAATGGAGGGAGGGGAAAGGAAAGGAATGAAAAAAGAATTAAAATGTATGTGTATATGTATCACTCCCCATGAGGCGTGGAATCGGTATGTACTACAATAACGAACTAATAAAAATTAGAAAAAATAACAAATCTGATTTTGTGTTTATCTCCAGTTATGGCTGTTTCCCAGGGTATGAGAGTACAAATCCTTGAAAAATTCATTCTACACTCCCTAGTATCATTAATTTTAAGTTAGTTTACACGATTTTACAGTGTCTTTTTTGAGGGGGGGGTATCGGGAATGGAACTCAGGACCTTTCCAGACTTGGCAGACAGGCGCTGTGCCGCTGAGCTATCTCCCCAGCCCCAGTTTATGTGATTTTAAACAATGTAAAACATGACATGTGACAATACCTTTGAAGCATGTTTCACCTTAGTTCATTGGCTACCACCGTTCAGTTGTTGGATTAAAGATGGGCCACGATAAATCGCTTTATTGTCTTCAGAAACCTGAATATTGTTAAGTAAGGAGCAAAGTAGCTCTAAAGTAAAACTGCGGGTTTAAATTGGAAATTGATGTTGGAAATAGATGCACTTAATACCTTTGCAGCATTCCAATCTACAAAGCCATCCTTCCCATTATGAGCAGTAAGGGTACTAACAGCTGACGACTTGTCCTCAGGATTTCTCCTGTCCCCAGGCTTCAGTAACAGGTTCCCAGGTTAACGTTCTATCTCAAGATTGGGACTTCTCTCTGTTTTAGCTAAGTGTAATTCATAATGATAATTTTAGTCTTTGGTTCATAATACTATCCTTTAAAGTAGTTGAAGTCAGTGGGTTCTAAGTATTAGGCTGAATTTTCTTGTAACAAAGCATTTTGATTTAGCTTCTAAAAGCCTGGATGAACTTGATTTACTCAAGTTAGTTCAACTTCTGAATATCTGGCCATGTTTGACAAAGTAGAGCCCTGCTCAGCAGGTCCTAAGGAAACCGTCTGATAACTGTGTCTCTAGATTGTCCTGAGATGACAGAAAGTAGGTGGGACTAGGGTTTAAAGGTTCCGTGTTGAGAAATTTCTTGAGGGAAGTTCTGTACTTTCTATGGCCCCAAAGGATGGAATCACTTTTCCTGGCAATTGCCATGATTGTTTCATATTGCTTTCCACCATCAGACTGCACTAAACTTTTCTTCAACGCTAAGAAAATATAAAGATTTACTCCTGTCTTTGGAAAGGGTTCTTGCTCTTTGCTCTCCACTGGACCTGACGATATGGGGTGGGGCAAGGCAGCATTAACATTTACTTGTGTCTTGTTTGTTTGTTTTTTCCGGTACCAGGGACTGAACTCACGACCTTGTGCTTGCCAGGCAGGCGCTGTGCCGCTGAGCTAAATCCCCAGCCCCTTTTCTTGTGTTTTATCCAAACTATGTGAGTCTGTTCCTATGTGTAAAAGCTCATATATTTAAATGAATATATTTCAGTTTCTAATTTCACCACTGTAGTCAGAAAGATTTTTTTACCCACTCCATGGCCAGAATCACTAATGAACAACAGGTGGAGCCCCTACCATCTACTAATCAGTTCACTCTTACATAATTTAAAGAAATGAATAGTCCGCAAATGAGTCCTACTTCCAAATCATTAGGCAAGTATATTGCAATAAAGACATCAATCCGTAAGTTTGAATTTTTATTTTTAGAATGTGAACAATAATTCATTAGTTTGGGGTGAAATTATTAGTATCAAAGATAGTTCCAATATTTTTAGAGTACAGATTACAAATAAATTGACTTAAAGAGACACATTTCTTAAAACAAATTGAAGAGTACTTAAAAATCCCATTGAATGTGTGTCACATTATTCCCAGGTTTATGGATACTGTTTCAACTAAATGAAGCTTGGAAGAAAACAGTGGCTAATTTATCTCAAATGGTGGCAAAAAACATTGAATTTATACTTTGTAATGTCAGTATATGTGCATGTATTAGTATTTGTGATTCTGTTTTACCTGTTTTACCATTTTAATAATCACTTTTGTTTCCTCTGAGAACTTTACCCTTACTTCAACTAACTCAGCCACTCCAAAATTTTTTCACTTGACTTATTTATCCAAAGTTTCTAGTTTTCAAATATTTCCAATAGTGCCTTTTATTGTGTACAATACTTTTGGTGAAGAAAACTAAATTAGAACTATTATGCATCAAATCACAGAGCTAGCAAAATTGGCTTTTGGAAGTATCCCTAAGCACTTCTGTGATGAGCTGGGGCTTCCAGGTGCTGCTGTCACAAGATGAAGTGGCTATATAATTTTAGTTGTGTATTACAAAGTACACTATGAAATTTCATTGCTTCTTCCATTTTCTTACTTCAGCTGCTAAATGGTGTAAAGATTTATGATGGGTTTGTATCTAAGTTTGAAATACTGATTGCCTATGAACCACTTCAATTATTTTCTACTCAGGTATTCAACATTTCCATCTCTGTTCTTGGTGTGTGACCACCTTTCTTTCTTCATTAGTGGCTTATTCTTCAAAACTCAGTTACACATTATAGTCATTCTTATACGGTTTCACTGGGACAACTTTGTAGATTTTGTTAACTGTTGCTCATTTACTGGACTAACTGTTACACGGCACAATGGGATTTGACTTTCTAAAATAGTTATTTGCCAAAATTACTACCTTAAAATATGATTTTAAGCTAAAATTTATTTTTAAACTTAACTTTGAGTAAATAATATGATTAGAAAATGAAGTTTTAAAGACTTGGTTCTATATATATTTAAATGAGAAAATTTTCTGAAATTCAAACATAGCAAGCTCTGTCTGCTCAGCAAAGAGGAACATGTATAGAGTTCCCCTATGGCCTCTTGGTATATAAATTTATAATAATACTACTTCTAAGGAAATACTTCAACATAAAATTCACTTTCTTTTTAAAACTATTGCCTTAAAAAGTTATTTGAGTTGTAAACACTCAAGGATAAACCAGTTTTAGGACCACATCATTGTGTCACAGTAACAGAAGTGTGAATCACATTCATTTTTTTTTAATTCATGGATTCAGGATCTCCTCAATTCTCATCACTGAGTTACTACAATATTAATATAAGTGATTGGAAAATCCAAATCCTCATTTCTTGTACCAATGTGCCAAGTAATGATGCACTCTCATGAAATCACACCTAGTCAGGTACTTTGAAATTTTGGTTTCCAGGTAGTTTGAAAATTATTATCCCACTAGCACTGTCCTCAGATTTCTGAAGCAGAACTAAAAGGAATTATAAATGAGGTATACTTTGTTGTGGTTGTGTTGCTTCTCTATCGCCCCAAAACTAACCAGCGTTTTGAGGATAGATAAGCAGAAATTATTCTTTTTACCAGGTAGCACTTACATAAGTGATGAAACATCACCTATCTGTGGTGTCTGTAATATATTTGGGTAATAAGATTGCATTACATTTACCTCTGTAATTTTGCAGATTTAGATACATCATGGAAGTAAACTTTTTTCAAAATCTGTTCATTTCTTTACTTATAGCATTGCATCTATACATGGAATTATCCCTGAAATAATTTTAAATTAATTTCTCACTTTACAGCAGTAGAAATCTGAAAATTTATGTATTAGGAGGTGATATTTTTGTTGTTATATATTATTATTTTAATTTTGTTTAATAATTGTAGGAAATGAATGTATAATTTAATCTGTGATTAAATATTTAGTACTGTCCAATGGTCTTACTAGTGACCAGATGATAAGTTTGAAAAATTAACCAATCTTAGGCATAGAATTTGATGTCTAAAGTGTTAAAGCAAAAGAAATATTATTTCTACAGTACATGTGTATTAGAGTTCAATCCTATTCAGGTTTGCAAGTGTATTATTTGGTGATTTGTAGAAGCAGCTATTGCACATCTTTGGGGAGTCTGAGTAAAACCAATCATTTGAAATTTTACTCTTTTCTTATAAAATGAAGGAAACCAGTGTAACATGGAGTGAAAATACAACTGATTTCTACCTATGGGCTTTATGGTGAGGAAACAGGTGATCTTTCCTCATTTATCACTGTAATTTTCTCTGTGCATACAGGTTGCTCAACCTTAGTTTAGTTTTAGCACAATCATTACATTTTTTGTTTTATGATCCAACAAGTGGTGGCCATCTATGGGATGCATGCCCCAAAGGGCTGTTTGTTATCTCTGAAAGCTCTAAAAGGCTTGCCATCACTGACCTAATGTTTATTTTTTACATGACTTTGGAGAAAGTACATGTATTTGTTAGTATTTTTCTCATTCTGTAAAACCCTACTCAGTGCCAATCCTTTTGAAAGCTGTTTTTAATATACTTATAACAGATTTCTTCATGCTGTAAATTTGAACACAGATACCATCCAACTGTCTTAAGAGTAATATTTAAATTCACAGTGACAAAAGTTAGAAAGTTTGTGCAAAAGATATTGTACACCATTGGAGTACATAAAGATTGCTATAGTAAATTTTATATATAAAACTGCTTTTCTCATTAAAACTATTCTGTGCTACGTTAAAAATTAAGTTTCTGATTTAATATTTCTTTAATAATAAAACTGAATGCTCATTTAATCTCAGAAAACTAAAGGTGTAGTAGCATATATATATATGATGTTTGTAAGTGTTGTAACAAATCTTGGAATCTTTTAAACAGGATAATTGCTTTGGAGCTCTTCGAGTCTTCCAAGGGTCATAAAATAAACCCTGCTGTGGCCATTATGCAGGATAGAGGTAAAGAACAGCTTTAAAAGAAAGAGAAAGATATTATCAGTATACGTTTAATATATGGCAACCAAAGATTTAGTAATCAACAGTGTTAAATACTAAGATAGATATAATTTCAGTTTATCTGGGCCTCCTAATTAAAATATTACCATATACTGTTATTTTAGACAGGTTTCCTTAAATTAAAGACTAAAATATTAATTTGGAGTTTCAATTATATAGTTAAAATGACCTTTTACCATATTTTATATACTTGCAATTCATACAGTTTAAATCATTTTTGTAGGTGGCATTCATCTGCTGAAGTTCATGATTTTCTTTTTGTTTTTTTTTTTTTTTCTTTCTGGTACCAGGCATTGAACTCATGACCTCACGCTAGCCAGGCAGGTGCTGGGCCGCTGTGCTAAATCCCCAGCCCCTATGATTTGTTTTGATTAATAATTTTTTTCTTTAAAAATCAAGGTTTATTCAGATTGGTTTTTCTCTTACTATGAGGAAACAGCTCATTTTCATGATATTTGCTATTAACTGCTGGAGTTTAAGAAGTCATTGAAATTTTCTCCTCTGTATAATTATCCATTGTCATGAAATAAACTGACATTAATAGTTTTAAAGAATGAGTTTATGCCAGTAGCTTAGAGGACAGGTTGAATAAATAAGTACTCTTTCATAGAGAAAATTAAAACAGAACATGGACATAAATATCAAATAGGCCTCACAGCTAGGTCTGATTTTTGACATCCACAATGGCTATACTGCAAAAGTTTTCATAATAATGAGAAGATATTCTAGCTGCCCTTAGCTTAACACATTTTATGTGCCAAACAATCAAAGAGATGGTTACTATACACACTGTATGTGAATTTGCACACTTCCTTGTGAAGCAGTTCTTAATATTCCCATTTTGGAGATGCAGGAACTAAACATCAGGAAGATCAAATTTCTCCGATTTTTATATCTACTAACATGGCAACCAAGACTGTATCTTAGGTCTATCTGACCTCAAATCCTAGTTCTTGTCATTCTATCTCTGTGCTTTGCAAATTTACATCTTTCCTTGCTTCAGAGAACTTTAACCTAGCTATACTAAAATTAACTTCAGTCTTCTGCAGTCTCTTACTTTTTGTTTTATTCTTTGAGACAGGGTCTCACTATGTAGTTCGGGCTGGCCTTAAACTAACTATGTAACCCATGATGGTCTGAAACTTGCGTCAGTTCTCCTGCCTCAGCCTCCTTAGTGGTGGGGTTACAGATATGTGACACCACACTTAGCTTCAGTCTCTTCTAAATAAGAATGTTTCTTATTCTTGTTTTTTTTTTTTTTGGTTTTTTGGTTTTTCTCCGGTACCAGGAACCGAATTCACGACCTTGCGCTTGCCAGGCAGGCGCTTTGCCGCTGAGCTAAATCCCCAGCCCTGTTTCTTATTCTTATTAGGATTATTTCTTCAACTGTTATAAGTAGACATGATCCAGGTTTTATAGAATGAATTATTTGATCTAGCTATTTGAAGTAGTTGTTGACATTTACTAAATTACACAAGTAATTCCAAATCTCATTTTTCTTTACCTTTCCTGCAAAGTAGACATCATAATACGTACTGAAAGATAAATTGATGTAGCTTTTAAAGTACCTGAATGAAGCCTAACTCAAGAATTAGATTTTTAGTAAACATTTTCCCTCTTTTATTATTCAGTTGTGTTGACAGTTATGAGACATAGGTTTGAAAAAATCACACAAAAAAATCAAAACAATAAATGCCAACAAAGATGTGGGAAAAAAAAAGGAACTCCCATACACTGTTCATGAGGTTGCAAATCAGTACAGACATTATGGAGAATAGTATAGATATTTCTCAAAAAACTACAAATAAACTGTATGCAATCCAGGTGTTCCATCCCGGGCTATATTCCATCCCTGGCAGTAGCTGCTTGATATCAAACAGATACTGCCATGTCCATGTGTTATTGTTGCACTACTGACCATAGCTTTGGAATCAGGTTAGCTATCCATCAACTGATGAATAAAGAAAGTATGGCACAAATGAACAACGGAAAATTATCCAGCCATAAAAAGAATGAAAGCTTGTCATCTACAGTCAAGTGGATGGGAATTGAAAATGTAATGTTAAGTGAAATAAACGAGACACAGAAAGGCAAGTGCTTCATGTTCTCGTTCATCCGTGGAGGTTAAAAAACATTAACCTGAATGGAGACTAGTGATTACTAGAGGTTTAGAAGAATGTAGGGGTGATGGATAAATGAAGATTGAACTTGATCCATGACATTGTGTGTGTATGCTAGCATATGACTTTGAATCACATTAATATGTACAATTAATACATGTTAATAAAAGGCATTATTTACAAAGATTTGCATAAGCATGTTTGTTTAAAAATATTTGATATGACTATACAAGAATGGTGGATCAAAGACAATAAAGGAGTTTATATTGAATAAATAATGGCTAAATTTTGTTTCAGACATACCTGCCAATTTTTACTTTTTTGAAAATGAAGCTGTTTTGAAACAAAATTTCATCATTTCACAAGTCAATATTTCTACTGCAAACTGAAATTTTGATTTTGTCAATGGCATGTTAATTTGAAAAACACAACAGAAGCATATTTATGGCCAATAACAAAAGGACATATATTTATTTAGTTAATTTCAATTGCTGCTTTAGTTTTGCTTTAACTGAAAGGTGTATACTGTACCTTGTCTCCTCGAGTACACAGAAATCTCAGTTTCTTGATTGACCTGGCCTGCAGTTCACTTTCCAGAACCGTGGGTTGCAAAGAACGCACTTCAATGGCTTTCTGGCCCCATCCTGTGGTCCGCTGCGTACACTCCAAAGCTAAAATACCAATGAAAAATATCACAAAAACAGATTTTTCCCGTAGTGATGGAAAATTACAACCAGACTTGCTGTTCGATTATAAAGAAACTCATTGCAATTCAGGTAAAGCCATCTTTCCCTCTATTTCTATAGTCAATCATTCAGTCACTCTGCTTCTGAGGAGTGGCTTCCTAGCCAACTATTATATATGGGAAAACTGACTTTTATAAATTAAAAATTTAAAATATGACTTATTCAAATAATGACATTAGCACCATTAATGTAATTGAATAAATTACAATGGTATAAGCAGAACTAAGGCCAATTTGATGCCATTAAATGATTTTTCTGTCTGAGAAAAAATTTGATTAAGGTTTTCACCTTTTAAGCCAAATTATACTTTCTGACAAAACGGGTTATGACAAAAATTGGTTTGAAGCAGAAAACCTAACTATGTAGATAACCATACACTCAACTGGTGTTATACAGTATTTTGTGGCACAGGGAGCAACTTACCATTACATGTTTAACTTTCAAATTACTATTGTTTATCTACTTTATGGAAAATAAAATTTCGATAAATACATGAAATCATAAAATTGTTAACTCAAAATAGAACAATCTTGAAAATACCAACATAAAGGACTTCCATTTCCATGTTAACATGAGTAAAATCAGAATTCATTAATATGATTTTCCATTTTCTATTTTGAAAAGAAGAAAGTATACATTGATATAATTACAATATATATCTTGAAAAAATTTTTCCTTGTCTTTCTTATAGCTTCTATGATGTCTTTATTTAAACCAAAATTTACCTGTCCTACATATGTATTCATTAAATATACACAAAAGGATACATGAAGGAATTCTTAAATATTTATATATGCACCTTTCAAATCAATAGTGTGATTACTGGATCTTTCAAACAAAATTACTAAGAATGTATTATCTCCTGCATCTTTTTATTACAATCCAAATTACTTATTTATGAAATTGACTTCAAAATTGAAATTAAATTACAAACATATTTTGACTCAGAAAAATGGCTGTCCTGGAAGAACTTTCTGAGTTTAATTTCAGAATAGAATTAACATCAGCGCAGAGTATAAAGGAAATAAGAATCAGTGGTCTGAATAAGGGAAATGAGTAATGCATTGTCTATATGGATTTGAATTTTTGTCCATGTGACTGCTTCAGTAAAAAGTAGCAATCAAATAGCAAAATTTTTCTAAACCGAATGCAAAAGCTACTTGCTAAGTACAAGAACATTGTTCACATGATGTCACAAAATTTGTACCTTAGTCCTGCACCACATTAAAATGGCACTTAACCTGGCTGCAGGGCTAGCATGCTTTCTAAAATGGGATTCACTCAGTGATACTGAAAACAGGAAAACAGCCAGCAATCGCTACCCTCTCTGTATTTGTTTGGAAATGCTGAGCAATGATCTTGCTATCAAAAATATTTGTCATTCTTCAAGGAAATGTAAAATTTAAATTAGGAACATGTGGGTCTGAGTTAGTTTTAAATAACGAAACAGTTTTCTGAAGACAGAAAAACAGTGTAATTTCTTTAACATCAGCACTATCATGTATGTCCTGAAAACTTAAAACTAAAAGTACCATGTGAGTATGAGGCTACGATTTATTTTCTGTGTAAGTGTTTTTCAAATTCTAGCAAATTAAAATAGCTTTCTTATTTCAGATAACAAATTATCCTGTATGAGGCCAAAAATTGGACAAGATAACTTTTCAAGATCCTTTGGACTCCTCTGATTGTCTAATGGCATAAGTACAGGGGGTGTAGGGTGTGTCTTCAGTTTCCCATTTGAAAGGAATTACCTCATTCCTGTTAGCAAATAACATTAATCACAAGAGTACTACTGTGAAGGTTATTACATGATTGATTACTTTTACTTCTGTTGCCCCAGATCTGTCAATTATATTGTAAGCATTTATCTTCTGTCACTTAAAATGGTCTGAAACCCGCTGTGAATACTTGCCTGTTTAAAGAAATTGGAGCAGGTTTTCAGGACAGTCCTTAACATTGACTAGGTGGGCAAAAAATAAAAGATTGTGCAGACACAATGCAAAGTGCCATCATCCCATAAAAATATGTCTACCAAAATTAGTTCTTTCAAACTATCCTTAAAACCACATGGGGATCACTTTTACCTACTTTATAGAGATTTTTGGGACTCTGGTTTCTCTCTTGACAAACTACCCAAATCCCCCAGCACTGCCCTGCCGCACCCCTGTCTTTCTCCTTCAAATTCCTTTTCTTTGGGAATTATTATCTTCCATTTTAATAATCAATTTCACTCCAACATTTTTACTTTTCCTATGCATTCTGGTCCCTATCTGGAATTAACCATATAGTCACCAAGCCTAGAAACATACACAAGCATCCCAAATTATTTGCATTTCCCAGATCACAAGTCCTACATTGTTCAGGAAAAAAATGTCCTGTTCAGAAGAAAATAAAAAGACAGTTTTCCTTATGTGGCCATCAGATTGGTATCTTATATACATTCCAGTCGTATCCATTGTTTTTCTGAAGGATTTGAGTCTTCACAGGGATATCACTCACTAAACAGAACACTACTGACTATATGAAATCGAAAAGCTTTGTTATTCTTTTGTAACAGGAGTCTCCTAAATAAAGGTAAATCCTCCAAAATGAATGCAATGGAAAGAAGTGTTTTCAACATCTGTGTAAAATCTGCAAGCAAAGAGACTTAAAGCAAAATTGTAGAGTATTGTGGAAAGAAATTAGTTCCTGTTTTAATAATCTAACAAAATGAACATCTAAGGTAACTAAAATTGATTTCTATTTAGTAGTCATTCAAATTTGCTAAGTATCTGAGAAACACCTGCTTCACCTTACTAAGAGAAAAGATGTGAGAGACTCCAAAACATCCCTCTGTTCTTTAAGAAGAAGTAGTCTTTCAGTAGACTTTTACTTAGTACACATTTTCCTTAAAAATTTTCTTTGGAATAATCTCAAAGAGGGGTTCATTTTATACATACCTACAGAAGATGGTATGTCTTTCCACACTTCAAGGATTTTCTTGAAAAGTTGCTCATTTGCTTCCACAGAGAGAGCTTCAGCATTGAAGGTGAGCATCATGCCAATTCCCAAGGAGTCAGGTAAAATGATGATATTCTGTGATATAATGATTTCCAGGGGATGGAATTAGGTTTCATAGGATTTGTGTCCAACGTTTTTATCACTACTATTTTAATTGAAGTAGCTTGTCTAAGCATAAAGACCAAAATAGGTTCAAAGTGCAGGGAGTAAGGTAACTTTTGTTTCTACATTAAACAGCAGGCTTCCCACCACTTGCAGAGCTGCTTACCTTATGAAAGGTAAACATGACTGTTTAAGAGAGTTTTCTTGAACCTCGATAATATTATAGACTTGGCTTTACAATACATTTTAACAATTAATGAATATTTTAGTAAGGAACATGTGGACCATGTAACAAATACATAACCATCAGTTATCAGAAAATTCACTGTAATAAAGAATAAAAAATAACCTAAAATAGTTTAAGTTTAAAATGTTTATAAGGCTTGAGTTTATAATATTCTTCACAGCTTGAAATATAACAGTCATACCCTTTTTGCAAAAAAGGTAGGATTTGGTATCCAATTTTTATATTATTAAGATACGTTCAATACACAAATTCAGGAGCATGTCTAAATTCCATGATGTATAAAACAATCTGACAAAAATTGCTTAAGCTAATATTATCACATTGACAGTTCTTCCCTGAGAAATTATGTTCTTCTATTGTTTCTTCAAATTAGTAAGTTACAGAAAAAAATGAAAGCTCAGAAGGTATACTTGCCAGACCCAGCATACTCAGGCCAAGAGCTTGAGTCCATGTCTCAGCAACAACAATCCTTAAAACTAAAATGGGGATCCAGAGGCGAAAAGCAATTTTAATGCGTTCTCTGGGCACTTGCATGAGCAATTGAATCAGAAAAGAGATGAAGGAAGAAAATACAAAAAGTTGCAAGAAAGAAGGTTGTCTCAATAAAATCTGTTTATAATAATCCAGACAGCCTCCAATTTAATTCACTTGCTTCTCAGATAATTACTGAAGTAACCAAATATTCTTTGGCACACATGGCTTCTTGTAACATTACAGGTTTGTAATTCAGCACTCTTGGAAAAATATTTTCAGTACATTCAGTTGCAGAAAAGACCTTCCTTTCTTTTATATTAAGATCCTTTCTCTTTTACTGGATCAAGACTCTAGGGCATTTACTAAATCTAATTTTGAGTATACATAAGGTATCCTAATTAGGTCAGAGAATTATTTTTAAAAACTCATCTTCTTTCATTCTAACTCTCACAGTAATTAATGGCTTGCTTCAATAGGAAATATGTTTTCTTACTTATTGGCTAGATAGAACATTGTGTCCAAATTTCTTCAGTGGCTTTTCAAATAAGTGTAAATGTCAACCAACGTTAAAATGTTTGATATTGCGTTCACTTCTAATAAAGGCTATCTGACATAATATAAAAACAAGACACAGGGAGCTATGGAAGACAACTATAGAATAATATAATATTTATAGTAAAATTATCCTGGTCTCAGATCTAAGTGACTTTTGATGGAATTGATTCAGTATTCTCTACATTACAAACAGGCTAAGTTTTGTTTAAGCATAGGCAATTGCTAGGTACTCAGATAATGATTGTTGGTACTTTCTTATTTTTGGGTACCGGGAATCAAACTCAGGACCTTGCACTTGCCAGGCAGCTGCTTATGCTGCTGAGCTGCATTCCCAGCCTGATAATGATTTTTAATATGATCAAAACATTTTAAATGTTTTACTAATGTTTTAAAAAATGCTGTATGCAATTTATTAGAAATGTACGATGTAATTTTGAAAGCTATTCAAAATGTCACATCACTCCAGTGACTTAAGAGTATTTAGCAGTTTTCTCCAGGAATTTTTGCGTAATGATAATATGCTAAAATGTTAATTGTCTACAATATGAAACCCAAAAAGGGTGCAACACACAATAGTTGGTTCAAGCTTTTAAAAAAAATACAATTTTCAATAGCTTAAAATTGAGGCTGGCATGGTGGCACACGCCTATGTAATTCTAGCACTTAGAAGGATGAGGCAGGAGGGTGGCATCGATTTCAAGGCCAACCTGGGCTCCATAATGAGTTCAAAGCCAGAACTACATAGCAAGACTCTGTCTCCAAAAAAAAGGATTAATTGTCAAAAAATTATGAGACCCATTACTATATTTTGTTTGATGTGTGTAGGCTATTATGTTATGGTCAAGTTCTTTATAAAAATGATATATATAGTATTTTTACACATATCCCTATTTTAGATGTGGTGTCATATTTCACTATTTTATAATTATTTAAAAAGGAGTAGATATGCATAGGTTATCAAAATGCTGAATCCTTTGATCAGAAATTTCAGGGGCTGGGGATTTAGCTCAGCGGCACAGTGCCTGCCTGGCAAGCATGAGGTCATGAGTTTGATTCCTGGTACTGGGAAAAAAAAAGAAAAGAAAAGAAATTTCAGGCAAGAATTGATACTATAAGATAATATTGTATTTTTATTTGCTATATACCACAGTTAAAGTAATACAATAATGAAGGAAATGTATGTAACAGTGCTTCAAAATTGTTTTGGACTGAATAATTCTGTTAATGTATTATGAGGTACAAAGGGACTAAGCCACAGGCCTTGACCTCAAATGCCTCCTAGGGCCAAATATTACAGTTGCATAATAAGATGGACAGAGAATGTAGAACCGACGTCTTTTCTAAAAGGGGCCAGGCATGAGTCAGTTTTGGCTGAAAATGGCTGGATAGTAATGAGGGACTGAGATTGTCAGTCTTCTTCAATAAAAATCCAAAGTTTAAATGTAAATTTAACATTTACATTCATTGGGAAAAAATAAATCAACAAACGAAACTAAACACTGTTTGCCAGAAAAGCAAAATGGCTGAACTGGACTAAGAAACTATCAGTGATATTTGTTTATGCATGGTCACTTTTTGGTATTCTATGGATAATTTTTAGTTTCCCATTCCTGTGCAAGTGTTTTTATTCATATTTTCAACTTTTTAGAATTTTAATATTTGGAAAGTGGTAATGCTGCTGTGCAATATTTTCTAGGGATTTGAAGATATTAACTTACGTTACTTGGCAGGATCACATCAGATAAAACTTCGGATTCTACATCAATGCTATGATATCCATTTTCTGAGCTGAAGAAAATCTTTAATCTTTTCTCAGAACCAATAGTCAGGTCAAGTGTCACTGGCTTGTGATCAAGAGTTGGAAACACCTGAAATATAAAGCCAAGTATGACCAAAAGGCCAAAAACTGACCCTCTGCTAAGGCAAAGAAATTCTTCCATTCTTTTCTGGGTTTACCTGTTTGTAGAACCTAGGTAGATATTTTAAATAGCATAATGTATTTAAAAACCTATATATTGGAGATTTTATTAGATCTGTCACTACAACAAATGAACAATTATAGTTAGGGTGTAAATAGTTTAAGTATCAAATTGCCAATGATTCTAAGTTCATTATATCACCCTGCACTTTGCTGTCCTTAAATTCCTTGTCTTCAGCTTCAACAAAAGACACAGCACGTCTGGATTAACCACCTGTATTTTTGCCAGTTTTGTATATAATTTTCATAAGACACCTAGTGTCCTTTAGAGTCTACTGATTGCTTGAAGCATACTTAGTACAACATGAAAAAGGCCAACACGTTAACCTACTATCAACTGGGTGTGCTCTAGGCTTCTATGGTTTTTAGTTCAAGGACACAAATAGCCATACAGGGTTCCCTGCCAAGTCCAGATCACAGTGGAGGACTAAGCATTGCAGAATTCACCGTACTAGGGTCTTGAGGTGGAATTCAAGGACTGGAGTGAGGACTTTGATAGGAACAGTGTATCAGGTTCAAGAGATTGTTGGTACATATCTCTCTGATTTCTGGGTTCCATACCAGGTACCTCTGACAAATCAGTTGACAGTCAAGAGCAAACAGTACCCAAATATTGACAGTGAAGATCATGTCAGTGATGTAATTTGTGTCAAGCAAAACAAGACTGTTCATACAGCAGTGTGTGTCATTTATAAAAATATATCTAGCTATTGTGGAAATAATCCTGGAGAAGCAATGATACGTTTTTATTTTTTGTTTTGTTTTTGGCTTTTCTCTGGTACTGGGAACCGAACTCACGACCTTGCGCTTGCCAGGCAGGTGCTTTGCCGCTGAGCTAAATCCCCAGCCCCCAACAATGATACGTGTTAGTCCATTTTTATTGTGATATTTTGGCCTACAAAATGATGTAAACATGTAAACAGATCCAGGCTTCATTCCAGATACACTAATTCTGTGTGCGATTGGGTCTGAGACCTAAATGTTTAACAAATGGTTCAGCTAATTCTGATATATATCCCTTATTAGAAGCTATTCCACTGACAGAATGTTATCACTTCACTAATCGGCCCTCATTACACTGCAATAAATATAAAACATTCCTATTTGAGTGGAACTTTGGAGCATTGCAATTATTTACAGTCCTTAATTAAGGTGATATGATAAAAAACAACAGCACCTTGTCTGGAATTGAAGCACACTTAAATCATAGTAAACAGGGGCTGGGGATTTAGCTCAGCGGCAAAAGCGCTTGCCTGGCAAGCGCAAGGTCGTGAGTTCGGTTCCCGGTACCGGAAAAAAACCAAAAAAAAAAAAAAAACAAAAAAAAAAATCATAGTAAACATAGATAGACTACATGTAAGCCTAATTACCATATCTCACAATGGTTCTAGAGAGAAATTTTTTTTTTTTTTTTTTTTGGTTTTTCTCCGGTACCGGGAACCGAACTCACGACCTTGCGCTTGCCAGGCAGGCGCTTTGCCGCTGAGCTAAATCCCCAGCCCCTTCTAGAGAGAAATTTGTTCAGACTTTCAGCTTGTAGGCAATGTAGACCCATCCGTTACTCGCATTACTACTTATTGTACTGATAGTAATCGAAGCAAAGATTTTTCTCTTCCGCCTTGTTCCAGTGGCTCCCAAACTTTTCTTTACCTTCTTTCTGCTCCCTTCCCCTCTATTAAGAGAGAACAGGGATTTTCTCAGAGCCAGTGTTTGGGACTTTGAAAGGGAAGATATTCATGCAGATCACAGGAATTGAGAGTGAGGAGCTTGTGAGGAGGTTATGTAAGAGGGTGATGGGGGGAGCTTAGGAATTTCCCTCACATTCTCCCTTGTTCTGATGCTCTGTATTGCTTTTAAAGTGGTTAAAAAGAGCTAAATGATAACTACTGACATGATATATTCAAATTGCATTAACTGTAGAAAAATGGTATACACTGCAACTGTATTGAAAATATGGCTTTGCTTACTTTTCTTCTGAAAAGAAAAATGGTATGATGCCAAAGAAAATGAGACCACTCACTTTAATAGCAGTGCTTTCATCAAAGGACTTTGATGCCCATGCATAAAGGTGAATTGATGATTTCAAAGCAATTGCTATATATGTTGTTTCTTCATGTTGGACTACAATGATAAAATAAAAAGAAGTAACAATGCCACAGATTTAACAAGAGCACTCAAGTGTTTGCATTTGTTATTGAAAATATCATAACCACAATGTAAGAGCAAAACCGTATATTTTTTAAAGCTACTTGTTGACAATTTGATGCTCCTTCAAAAGTAATGATTACTATATAATTTCATGCAGTTTATTTATTAGCCTTCAGGAATATTTTAAATTGTACACTGAAAGCTATAAAATATTTATGAAAAAATTAAAGAAGATGTAAATAACTGAAAAAAATTTAATGTTCATTCATGGTTACACGTAACATTTTAAAGGTAGCAACAATAGTCAAAAAGAGCTCTATAGATTCAATGAGACACCTATTAAAATTCCAATGGCCTATTTTTGTAGAAATGAGAAAGCTATTCCTCAATTTCACATGGACAGGCAAGAGGTTCTGAATAACCAACACAATCTTGAAAATAAAAATCAAAATTGATGGACTCATTTCATGATTTCAAAACTACAAACTATAGCGATAAAATTATGGTACAGTCATCAGGCTAGGCATATAGATGAATGAGATATCATTTACACTCAACAAATATACCCATAAATCCATACTAATGCTGCCTAAACCATTCCATAAGGAATAATAGTTTACAACAAATGGTGCTGCAACAACTGGATATGTTCATGCAAAAGCATGAAGTTGGACACTCTATCTTCTACCACATACACAAATTAACCCAAAGTGGATCAAAGGCCTAAATGTAAGTGTTAAAACTTTAAAACTCAGCAATAAGTATGTGGACAACTATTGGTGACCTTGAATATGTCAAGATAGCCTTAAGTTTGACACCAAAAGTGAAAGTATCAAAAGAAAAAAATAGATGTTAGGATACATCACATTTAAAAAGTTTGTGCAACAAGGAATACAGTCAAGAAGTTGAAAGTATAGCCTATGGATTAGAAAAGAGTATTTGCAAACCACACATCTGGTCAGGGCCCAGAATAAAAGAATATTTAAATAATTCTCAAACTAACAACAAAAGGACAAAGCAACTAAAAATAGAGAAATGCTTGAATAGTTATTCTTCCAAAGATGATAAAAAAAAATGACCAGTAAATACATGAAAAGATGCTCAACTACATTAATCACTAGGAAATTTCAAATCAAACCTAGTACTGTTTACCCCACTAGGGTAGCTAGAATCAAAACACAAACATCTAGAAATGCTGGAAAGGAAAAAATAGAGTTGTCACACATTACTAATGGCAAGGTGAAATGATACACCTACTTTAAAAACATTCTAGCAGTGCTACCTAAACGAAAAGAAAACATGCGTACTCATATACAAAATGTACAAGAATATTCATATATACAAAGATATACAAGACATTAATAGCAACTTTATTACTAATAGCCAAAAATAAGAAAGCATGAAAATGTTTATCAACTCAGGTAGAGGTAAACAAATACTGATGCATTTGTTCAATATAATTATATAGCACATGAAGTATATGAGGCAACATGGCTGAACCTTGAAAATATTATGCTAAGTGAAAAAGTCTGTCACAAAAGACCTCATAATGTATGGTTCCATTTATATTCATAGTTAAGAAGTGGCAGATGTTGTCCAGAAAGAAAATAAATTAATGGCTGTGACTATGAAAAGAGTAGGGAAAAGGGAAAGGAAGGAAATGGGGAGTGTTTGCTAATGGATGGGAGTGGGTTATTTTGGAATGAAAATTAGATCATAGCCGTTGCATAATTATAAATATACCATAAATCATTGACTTGTGTACTTTAAATTGTTTCATTTTTATAGTATCTCAATTATTTCAATAGGACTGTTTCTTAAATAAGTATATGCTTGCTTTTAACCTTTCTTGTTGGCTCATATGGAACATGCTGTATTACTCAATAAATTTATACTTTCCATTAAACCCCTCTTTTCTTGATTGGAATTCTCTCTCTCTCTCTCTCTCTCTCTCTCTCTCTCTCTCTCTCTCTCTCTCTCTTTCCTTCTCTCTCTCTCTCCCTCATAGTTTACTCTTTCATTTTCTGTTTTAGTTAAGCAAACACTTCCTATAGGGCATTTACTACTTTTTACCCCACTAGGGTAGCTAGAATCAAAACACAAACATCTACAAATGCTGGAGAGGATGCAGAAAAAACAGAGTTGTTTTGTACATTTTGTATATGAGTACGCATGTTTTCTTTTCTTTTAGGTAGCACTGCTAGAATGTTTTTAAAGTAGGTGTTTCATTTCACCTTGCCATTAGTAGTGTGTGACAACTCTATTTTTTCCTTTCCAGCATTTGTAGATGTTTGTGTTTTGATTCTAGCTACCCTAGTGGGGTAAAACGTAGTAGGTTTGATTTGAAATTTCCCTATACATTTCCAATTACATTTACTATAGGGCAATGATTGTTGCTACTTTATTGTTTTGTGGATCTTGAAAGGTCATGAAAACACCTGGAAAGTATGAATCATAGCTATCCTGTGTGAACACACTACCAGTGCACTTGTCAATGGTACAAATGTCTACCGGTTGTTCTGAATGATGGAGTAGATTGGAATGGGACCAGTGAGGAAAACTGTAGTTAAGTAACCGATCCTCTTGCCAAGAGCACAGGTCTGCAAGATTATTACCTTCGTAACTATCTATTATTGAATTAAAAGGTATAAGTTAATAGGAACTGGTTCTGCAATATAAACTCCTGGATAACATCTGGGGTATCTTTCACCTCTAAGTTTATTGCATTTACATAATATGATTGGAAGGGAGTAGTGATATGCAAAACTTGAAGAAAATAATGCTTTTATTTAATGCTTAAATTATTGAGGTATTCATTCCCCCTTTTAGCGGTGTATGTGTACATATCCATGCACATGAGAAAAAATATCCTGATAAAGCTGCTTTATATGTAGAACAAAAATAGTCAGGACAGAAATATTCTATCGCAGTACATATAAAGTGCTTTGAACTATCTACTACCTGTTCTTGAATGGGAAATTAATGCAGAGGGATAGAAGAAAAGTAAGGCTGAGAGTAAAGGGGATTTGCTTCAGAAATGGAGCAGAATGGGATGACATTAGTTCATAGTTGACAGCTGAAAGCAGGATTCTGAGATGTTGGGGTTGTTCTTCCATTATGTTATTTCACAGTGGATGGTTGTAAAGGTACAAAGGTATAAAAAACATTATCTAATCACACAAAATGCATAATCAATGAATAATCAATATTGACAGTGGGAGCCAGATCACAGAAACAGTTTCTTTTTGACTTATAAATTTCTGATTATTACTAAAAGAAGTTCTATTTTATTGCTATTCTGAAGAAGTATCATAAATCTCTATAGGTTGTTGAAGAAACAGCAGAAGCATTTATAGCTGTATAGAGGTAGGAAAAATACCAGTTCAACTGGGATATTTACTGTGACTCATAAGGGAAGAAAGGAGAAGAAATAACACCAAATTTAATATCAATAGCAATTTCAGCTGATAAATAGTTTCCCATTAACAGCCAAGATTGTGGCAGAAAAAACCCGTCTCCATGAAATTCACTCAACTTTGCATTCGAAGTTGCAAATTCTTTCCTATTTCTATTTTGCATTTCATAATTATGTACTTTGCTCAGTGAAAGTAAGGAAACTTTATACAGGTATAGTTAATGTGAAATGGGACATACGGAGGCTGAAGTGTTCACAGCCAATCAACTTATCAATAGCTCTGTAAGTTTCCTCTGTCTTCCACATTTCTTGTTGCCTTTTTTTACTTTCTGGATCATTATTCAAAATCTTGTTCCTCAGCCAAGTCAAATGATACATCCGAAGTCGGTTCTTATGGCCTGATAAACAAGAAGAGATACAATATTTCAATTCTACTTATCTTCTTCATATATTAGAAGAACAAAAAAGTAAAGATATTTTGCCTTTTTAACCAAATATGTTCATTAACATAAATAGCATATTTTACAAAACTACCTTGCATCAGAATCTCTCCTTCAAAATTTGGAAATATGAAATCCAAAATTTATCTTAGTCTCACAGTTCTAAGTGATAAAGTGCTAATCAACTACCTGTGTGCATGGGTGAAATGGGATCGAAAATGTTCCTTTGAGGTAAGTTATAACTGCCCCTAAGCAGGCAACAGAGTTACCATGCGTTCATTTGTACGTTGGCTTTTTAGTAAGTGACTATTCCTCCATGGTTTAGAAAACTACAAGCTACCCTGATAACGTTTGTGTATGTGAGGGATGTCTGAACATTGGCTGTTTAAGCATTTCCAGCCATGAAGATGGATCTCTTTGTTTTCTACCATTGTAGCATAATTATAAAAGAGTTGAAGTTTTATCATTTCTTCTTTAACCCAATTCATCTTCTTATTTTAAAATTATTTCAATTATTTTAAACACTTTTGCTGCCACAAAATATTTACAAATATTTTGAGGTACATAATGTGATATTTTAATGCACGGGTACATTGGGTAGGGATCAATACAGGATACTTTTAACCTTAAAGTCAAACTATTAAAATTTCCTTATAGTGAGTGCATTCAAATTCCTTTCTTCTATTTTGAAATCTATAATGTATTCTTGTTAACTACATACACTCTATTATTCTACAACACAGCAAAACTGCTTTTTCCTATATTCCTATAATGTTGTATCCATTTATTTACCTGTCTTCCTTTTCTCCTTCCCTCTATTTAACCCAGTGTCTGATAAACACTATTCTATTTTCAATTTATGAGAGCAACTCTTCAGATATGATTTATGAGGGAGATCACATTTTTAAATATTGATTTTTATTTGCAATTTCCTAAATCCCACCAAATTCATACAATTTGTTTAAGAAACAAAAGCCACTAAAATCATGTGCTTCTGTCTCTACATAATGATTTACATTCATTTTTCTTATTCATTCTTAAAGTTTATGATTACAAAAATATCTAATCCCTACAGTAGGATTCTTATGTGATTAAATTTTTATATATTTTACATAAAATATCTGAAACAATATTAGGTTTTGGATATCTATGTCTGTGACAATTCCATTCTTTAATTGTAAAATGAACTTTTGAGTATCTTCCTGTACTTATATTCTCATTACCACTTGACACAAAACAATTCACCTTTGAGAGAAGCTCAAACGTTAAGGAAGGACACATATGGGTTAGGAAAAAAAAAATCTAAAGAAAGTCTGTTTTGTAAAGAAATGTGATATTCCAATGTGTTGTTTCTACCCAAATATTTCATAAGGTAAATATTGCTTCTGTATAACTCAGAAAATTATAAATGAATAGCCATAAAACATAATTTAAAAATCATGATGCCATAGCATATTTCTAAAGGGATTTCTTTTATGATCAAAATATAAAGCAAATTTAATCATATATAAGAATATATATAAGCAGTGAGTAACAAAATATTTGCACACTAACATATATTCTACATAACTATTATGTATTATAAAAATATATAAACTAATATAAATAACTGTGATGAGCATGATTTTACTCCGTAGCTAAACCATTTTGTTAAAGTGACCTCTCCAGAGGCTAGGGATTTAACTCAGGGGCACAGCGCCAGCCTGGCAAGCACAAGGTCGTGAGTTTGAATCCCAGTAACAGAAAAAAAAAAAAGAAAATAAAGTGACCTCTCCCTTTTTCTGTCACCCTTTGCTTAAATGCAGATTTAAAGAAATTCCTTTCTTATAACAAGTCCTAGTTAGTAATTACAATTACTCTAACACTCATTTCCTTGCTTTTTCTTAGTGAAATATTTATCTGTTCCAAAATAAAAAAAAATGCAACTACTGTGTGGAAAATATACAGAGATCTTGAGGGGATCCCCTCTGTTTGTAGTACATGTTTGTGATACAGAATGAATACACTCACTGTGGCTAGTTAGTACCTGTATATAATTGATTTTATGCCCCTTTCCCTGTTCCCTCTCCCTCTCCTTCTATCTGTTGCTTCCTTCCCCATTTGCTAAAGTTTTAACTTACTGTTTCTTATTATCTATGTTTTCTTTTAAGTGTTAATGCATTTATATGTTTGATTTCTCATATAAAAGAAATCATATGGTCTATAAGCTTGTGTGACTGATATATTTCACTTAAATTTATGGATTCAAGGTGCATCTAGGGAACCC